GAATAAAAATTTGTTCCCAGGATGTAGGCTCCCTATTTACCTCTCTTATTGTTTCTCTTGCTGAGAAAAAACTTTTTAGTTTGAGTAAGTCCCATTTGTTGATTCTAGTTATTAACTCTTGTGCTATGGGTGTCCTATTGAGGAATTCGGAGCCAACCCCAACAATATGTAGATCGGAGCCAACTTTTTCTTCTATCAGACGCCGTGTCTCTGATTTGATATCAAGCTCTTTGATCCATTTTGAGTTAACTTTTGTGCATGGCGAGAGAAAGGGATTCAGTTTCATTTTGTTGCATATGGATTTCCAGTTTTCCCAGCACCATTTGTTGAAGACACTATCCTTCCTCCATTGCATGCTTTTAAAAAGCCACTTTATCAAATATGAGAAAGTTGTAATTTTGTGGATTGGTCTCTGTGTCCTCTATTCTGTACCATTGGTCCACCCGCCTGTTTTGGTACCAGCACCATGCTGTTTTTGTTACTATTGCTCTGTAGTATAGATCGAAATCTGGTATCGCTATACCACCTGACTCACACTTCCTGCTTAGAATTGCTTTTGCTATTCTGGGTCTTTTGTTTTTCCATATGAATTTCATAATTGCTTTATCTATTTCTACAAGAAATGCCCTTGGGATTTTGATTGGCATTGCATTAAACCTATAGAGAACTTTGGGTAATATCGCCATTTTGATGATGTTAGTTCTTCCTATCCATGAACAGGGTATATTTTTCCATCTTCTAAGGTCTTCTTCTATTTCTCTCTTTAGGGTTCTGTAGTTTTCATTGTATAAATCTTTCACATCTTTTGTTAGGTTGATTCCCAAGTATTTTATTTTTTTTGAGGATATTGTGAATGGGGTGGTTGTCCTCATTTCCATTTCAGAAGATTTGTCACTGATATACAGGAATGCCTTTGATTTATGTGTGTTGATTTTATATCCTGCCACTTTGCTGAATTCATTTATTAACTCTAGTAGTTTCTTTGGAGATCCTTTTGGGTCTGTTAGATATAAATATCATATCATCCGCAAATAGTGATAATTTAAGTTCTTCTTTTCCTATTTTTATGCCTTTAATTTCTTTCATCTGTCTAATTGCTCTGGCTAGTGTTTCAAGAACTATATTGAATAGAAGTGGTGATAGAGGGCATCCCTGTCTTGTTCCAGATTTTAGAGGGAATGCCTTCAGTTTTTCTCCATTCAGAATAATGCTAGCCTGAGGCTTAGCATATATAGCTTTTACGATGTTGAGATAAGTTCCTGTTATCCCTAGTTTTTCTAGTATTTTGAACATAAAGGAATGTTGTACTTTGTCAAATGCTTTTTCTGCATCTATCGAGATGATCATGTGGTTCTTATCTTTAAGTCTATTGATGTGGTGAATAACATTTATTGATTTCCATATATTGAACCAGCCTTGCATCCCAGGGATGAATCCTACTTGATCATGGTGGACTAATTTTTTGATATGCTTTTGTATTCGATTTGCCAGGATTTTATTGAGGATTTTTGCATCTATATTCATTAGAGATATTGGTCTGTAGTTTTCTTTCTTTGAAGTGTCTTTGTCTGGTTTCGGGATCAGGGTGATGTTGGCCTCATAGAATGAATTTGGAAGATCTCCTTCTTTTTCTATTTTTTGAAATAACTTGAAAAGTATTGGTATTAATTCTTCTTTGAAGGTTTTGTAAAACTCCGCTGTATATCCATCCGGTCCAGGGCTTTTCTTGGTTGGTAGTCTTTTGATGGCTTCTTCTATTTCCTCCTTTGTTATTGGTCTGTTTAAATTGTGTGTATCTTCCTGACTCAATCTGGGCAAATCATATGACTTAAGAAATTTATTGATATCTTCACTATCTTCTATTTTATTGGAATATAGGGTTTCAAAATAATTTCTAATTATCTTCTGTATTTCTGTAGTGTCCATTGTGATATTGCCTTTTTCATCCCATATGTTGGTAATTTGAGTTCTCTCTCTTCTCCTCTTCGTTAGCATGGCTAAGGGTCTGTCGATCTTATTTATTTTTTTCGAAGAACCAACTTTTAGTTTTATCAATTTTTTCAATGGTTTTTTTTTTGTTTCAATTTCATTGATTTCCGCTCTGATTTTAATTATTTCTTGCCTTCTACTACATTTGCTGTTGTTATGCTTTTCCTTTTCTAGGGTTTTGAGATGAAGTGTGAGTTCATTTATTTGTTGTTTTTTTCTTTTATTGAGGAATGAACTCCAGGCAATGAATTTCCTTCTTAAAACTGCTTTCATTGTGTCCCATAGATTCCGATATGTTGTGTCTGTATTTTCATTTATCTCTAAGAATTTTTTGATTTCCTCCTTTATGTCTTCTGTAACCCATTGATCATTCAGTAACATATTGTTCATTTTCCAGGTGATGCAGGATTTTTCCTTCCTTCTTTTATCATTGATTTCTAGTTTCATTCCATTATGATCAGATAAGATGCATGGTATTATCTCCACACCTTTATATTTACTAAGAGTTGCCCTATGGCATAATATATGGTCTATCTTTGAGAAGGATCCATGTGCTGCTGAGAAGAACGTGTATCCACTTGATGATGGTTGATATATTCTATATATGTCGGTTAAGTCTAGGTTATTAATTGTGTTATTGAGTTCTATAGTTTCTTTATTCAGTTTTTGCCGCAGTCTGGCTGGGCACAAATCAGGAGCCACTGAAGCAGGAACAAACTTTATTTTTAAACTGCAGGAAAACACTTCACACAGCTCCCGGGGAATCCTCCCGAACGCGCCACGAGGCTTGTCCAGGAACCCCCAGCCGGAACTATCTCTCCCGGAAATCCCTCCTCCTGCACTTCCCCAACCAATGGGAACTCTCGGGGAATCCCCGGAAATCCCCACGAGAACTCCAAAATAGTGCGAGAACTCAAAAGTTGCGGCAGAGGCGGACAGGCAGAGGCGCCTGTCAATCAATACTGTTGGCAAAATGCCAGGGGCCATACAGACTCAGCCGTGGCTCTCAGCATCAAGTTTTTGTCTGGTGGATCTGTCCAATGGAGAGAGCAGTGTGTTGAAGTCACCGATAATTATTGTGTTGTGGTCTATTTGACTCTTGAACTTGAGGAGAGTTTGTTTTATGAACGTTGCAGCACCATTGTTTGGTGCATACATATTGATAATTGTTATGTCTTGTTGGTGGATGGTTCCTTTTAACAGTATATAGTGGCCTTCTTTATCCCTTTTGATTAACTTAGGTTTGAAGTTGATTTTATTCGATATGAGTATGGCCAATCCTGCTTGCTTCCGAGGACCATGTGAGTGGTATGATTTTTCCCAGCCTTTCACTTTCAACCTGTGTATGTCTTTTCCTATCATATGAGTCTCCTGAAGGCAGCATATTGTTGGATTTGTTTTTTTAATCCAGGTTACTAGCCTTTGTCTCTTGATTGGTGAATTTAAGCCATTAATGTTTAAGGTTACTATTGATATATTGTTTGTACTTCCAGTCATGCTTATTTATTTATTTATTTTAATATGGCTCGTTTTTCCTTTTTGGTTATATTTTTTGTTCTTCCCTTTACTGAGTTACCTCCCAATGTTAGTTTTGGGTGCTGTTTTTCAATTCCTCTTCTTGCAGTGTTTTGCTCAAAATGCCTTGCAGTGCTGGTTTTCTGGCTGCGAATTCTTTTAACTTTTGTTTATCGTGAAATATTTTAATTTCATTGTCAAATCTGAAGCTTAATTTTGCTGGATACAGTATTCTTGGTTGGAATCCATTATTTTTCAGCGTTTGAAATACGTTGTTCCAGGATCTTCTTGCTTTCAACGTCTGTGATGAAAAATCAGCCGTTAACCTAATTGGTTTACCCCTGAATGTAATCTGCCTTCTTTCTCTCGTAGTTTTTAATATTCTCTCCTTGTTCTGTATGTTGGATATCTTCATAATTATGTGTCTTGGAGTTGGTCTATTACAGTTTTGTATGTTTGGGGTCCTGTAGGCTTCCAGGATTTGGCAATCCATTCCATCTTTCATATCTGGGAAGTTTTCTAGGATTATTTCATTCAATAGATTGTTCATTCCTTTGGTTTGATCCTCTATACCTTCTTCTATCCCAATGACTCTCAAGTTTGTTTTTTTTTATAACATCCCATATCTCTTGGATAGATTGCTGGTGATTTCTTAGCATCCTTTCTGTGTTGACTATATTCTTTTCAAGTTGATACACTTTGTCTTCATTATCTGATGTTCTGACTTCTATTTGATCTAGTCTATTTGTAATATTCTTTTTTTTAAATTTTTCATTCACATATTTATTCCATAGTCAAAATGAACCATAATTTAAAGCCATAACAAGTCTTTAAGAGATAAAGTAGAATTTGTGGCACAGATGCATTAACAAGACAGACACCAATATAAAGTGCAACACTAAACAGGTGTTCTCTGTTCCCGTGATGGAGTACACAACAATTACACATAAAATTTCACTAAAGATCTGGGATGAGGCATATAACCCTTTGAAATAAACTGCCCAATGAATACAGGCAGGCTGCAAATAATTGCTATTAACATTTTGCTGTAAGATGGAAAAATTCCCAAGGTGACTACTGACTCAAACCCCTCATTTCATGAACCTGGCCTTAGATTCCATCTTCCATTCTCAGTCACATCCAAATCCAGAAAGGCTTCTGTGCTCCATGCTTAAAAATGCATTCCCAAGTCCCAGAGGACCTCAGCACAGACTTATGTTAATGAGCCTGTGTGCAACCTTCATCCAGAACCTCCAGGGAAATCAGGAGCTCCAAAACACAGTGCAGTGTGTGTCTTTAAACAATAGTTTTAACTGTCAAATGAGCCTGGCATCTGACAGGCCATATGCATTTCATAAGCAAACCAAAATATTGTCTTATCTTTCTCTTTTTTATTTTTTGAAAAAATGTTCAGTAAATCATCCAAGTGGGGGAGGGGACAATGAAATTTCAAAGGGTTTATGCAAAAAAAAAAAACTAGTCCTCTGTAGCCTAACTTATTTGTTTTGGGGCTGTGAAGCCATATAGGGGGCAATCAGGCAGTAGACGGTCCCTCCCACAGTCAGCGCCATGGTGGTCCGGTAAAGCATTTGGTCAGGAAGGCCTCGTTTCAGATGGACAGACACGCCATCAGATTTCTGGAAAAACTTCTGTAGCTCTGGAACCTTGTTCTTCCCAGCATAATCATAACCAGTGGGACTAGAGGTCAGTTTAGTCGGTGTGGCAAATATGATAGGGGAAACCACTGGCCTTAATCCCTGTGGGCTGTAGGCTTCTGAAGCCCATGCTCCAGTTAATTTCTGCGTGAATCCACTAAATTTGTAATACATTATGCTGGTGTCCAGCTTCCCGCAGCCGCTGCCTGCGCGACCGCCCCAGAGAAGGCTGTAATATTCTTGTTTGAGTTTTTAATTTGGTTTATGGTTTCTTGCATTTCTAGGATTACTGTTTGATTTTTTTTTAAATCTCTATCTCCTGGTATAGCTCATTCTTTGCCATTTGAATTTGCCTATTTAATTCGTTTTCAAAGTATACTTTCATTGTTTGGACTTGCTGTCTAATGTCTTCTCTAAGATTCCGTTCCATCTGAGTTAGGTATGCCTTGAGTTCTTTCTCTGTCCATTTTTCTGAAGCCTCTAGGTTCTCCTGTGAATTTAAGTTGTCCTGCATTGTTTGTAATCCTTTTTTTCCCTTGTTTTTTTCATGGTGCTCACGTTGCTTTCCCACTCTGTTTGACTGCTGTGTTTCTGTTTTCTTCTTTAAATTTGTTTTGGTTTTTATAGTTCCAATATCTCTCCTATGCGTTGGAAGACAATGTTTAGAGATGTTGGATTTAATTGTGAATTAAGGTAAATTCATTAGTTTCATTAGAGGCCTACAGAATTTGATGGCATATATAGAATTGAGGTTTGAACTTAGGATTTTATGTTGAGGTCGGGTGCTTTGATGGCATGGAGGTTAGTATATGTTAGCTTCTTTGGGGGGTTGCTCCAATGCAGGTGGATATTAACAAGAGAATAGACAGGAGTACTTGGGGGTAGTTAAGGGCTTAGGCGGACTATGGACCAATTCGTAGTATTCATCTATTTGCATTTAGTAAGTTGTACATAATCTGGGTGGTCATGCTTAAGAGGAAAGATGGGGAAAAGGTAAGGAAGCAAACCAAGAAAGAGAGAGGGAGAGAGGAAAGAAAGAGAAAAAAATAGAAAAGAAAAGGAAATGATAATAAAAAATAGTAATAAAATGCAGTACAATAAAAATTACATTTAAAAAAATAATAGTATAATTGTAGAAAAGAAAAAAAATTAAAATTAAAAAATTAAAAGAAAAAAGGCACTGTTAGGCTTGTATTTTCTTCACTTCCAGTAGGTGGTGCTGTGCCTTCCGGGCCAAGATTTTGCCCTCGGGCTGTAGGAAACAAACCGTGTGAGGCCGCTCCCTCCTCCCCCCCCCCCCCACTGGTGTCTCTCAAAACCTGTTAGCTTAGGTTAATTCCTGGTTTCTAGTCCCCTGGCTTCTCCTGTCAGCCAGGCCTTTCCCAGTGTGATACCTCTTGGCAGTTCAAACTGCACTTTGTGCCTGCAGTTTCCTGGACGTGGAGTGCAGCTTTTGGGAACCAGCACCTTATTGTTTTGATTCCCTCCACTAGCCCCTCCTCCTAGAGCTGGCGAGACAGTTTCATTCTCGCTGCTGGTGGGAGGGAGGAGTTGGGGGTCAGGTGCGTTTACCTTTCCCCCACGCCTCTACTCATGCTCACTCTGTTAATCACGCTCCCGGAAAGCCGGGGAGAGATTTTATGTGATTTCCCCGCTGTATGGGGGATGTTCAAGATGTCACAGACCTGTTCTATCGCTGAATGAGCTGTGATCAGTCGAAAACTGGCAATGGTGACATCAGCTCTCCAAGATGGTTGGCCGCTGGCTTCCTCGGTGGTCTGACCAGTGTGGAGAACAGAACTGGACCGCTTCCTTCCCCCGTCTCAAACCCAGAATTCAGCACTGAGCACAATGAGGGCACAGCTGGCAGGAGCCCGCAGAATCAGCAGCGCCATATCTCTGCGTTGCTAGCTCGCCCGTTTCTAGGGATGCCGTTTCCCGGCACACGCCGCAGTCTCTAGAGCGGGCGAGCCACCGAATAAGCAGCTTGAATCTCTGGGCGGACAAATCTCTCGCAGTTGAGCCCCAGTAACCGATTCTCAGGCGATGGAAATCCTTCCTCTAGGTTTTAGTGCACCCCAATTTTGCAGGAAATTCCTAACAAGATATCTTTTGGCCGTTCTAACTCGTCATTCACCCGCACAGTGACGCGGTACACAGGGGTGATGCACTCCATTCGCCGCCATCTTCCCTCTGGCTCAATTCATATCACACTTTGAAAATTGGTGTCTAGGGTTGGCCAGTTCCTCTCTTGGCTGTCCAGAGTCAGCAGACACCGGGCCCCTGCCTGGAAGCCAAGGCAGAGGAGACCGCGCCCCTCATTTTTGTAAAAATCCTTTGTTCTCTACATATTCATTCCTCCCTCCTACCTCCTGAAACTCTAGCAGCCACTGATCTTTTTCTTGTCTTTAGTTGTGTCTTTTCCCAAATGTGATATTACCAGAATCATACACGATAGCCTTTTCAGACTAGCATCTTTTACTTATTAATAATAATAATTAAATAATAAGCAAATAATAAATAATAATTAAATAATAAGCATTTAAGGGCCCTCTATACTTTTCATGGTATATTCTTAGTGCTGAAAAATATTCCATTATGTGGAAGTAGCACAATTTATTTATCCATTTAGCTATATCTTGTTGGCTTCCAAGTTTTGACGATCATGGATAAAACTGTTGTAAACATCTCTGTGTGAATTTTTGTAGAGATGTATGTTTCCAACACCTTGCCTAGATAGCAAAGAGCTTGATTGCTGGATTGTATGGTAAGAGTAGTTTTAGTTTTATAATAAATATCTTCCAAAGTGGCTGTATCATTTTGCATTTCCCACCAGCATTGAATGAGAGTCCCTGTTGTCTGTATTCTTGCCAATATTTGATATCATCAGTGTTCTGATTTGGACCATTCTGATAGGTACAGTGGTACAAGAACCTACAGTGAAGTGATATTTCATTGTTTTAATTTGTGTTTCCCTGATGTGAAGCTTCTTTTCATATACCTATTAGCCATGTGTATATCTTCTTTGGGAAGGCATCTGTTAAGGTCTTAGCCTCATTTTTAAAATCAACTTTGTTTATTTTCTTATTACTGGGTTTTAAGAGTTATTTGTATAACAGTTCCATATCATATATGCCCTTTATGAATATTTTTCCTGTCTGTGGTATATCTTCTCGTTAGTTTGACAGTATTATCACAGAGCAGAAGTTTTTAACTTTAATGAAATCCATTTTATTAATTCTTTCATGAATCATACCTTTGGCACTTTATCTAAAAATTCATTACATATCCAAGGTTATCCAAGATTTTCTCCTATGTTGTCTTTTAGGAGTTGTATAGTTTTTCATTTTCCATTAATATCTATGATCCATCTTGAGTTAATTTTTGTGAAGGATGTAAGATCAATGTCTGGATTCATTGTTTTGCATGTGAATATCCAATTATTCTAGCATCATTTCTTGAAAAGGCTCTCTTTTTCTCCATTGAAGATCCTTTGTTCCTTTGTCAAAGATCACTTGATTATATTTATATGGGTGTATTCCAAGGCTCTCTACTCTATTCCATTGATCTATTTGTCCATTATTTTGCCAATATCACACAGCCTTGAGTATTGTGTGTTTTAGTAAGTCCTAATGTCGAATTATGTCAATTCTCCAACTTTGATCTTCATCTTCAATATTGTGTTGGCCAGACTAGGACATTTTTCTCTATATATAATCTTTAGAATCAGCTTGTTGATATTCACAAAATAATTGCTATTTTTTTTACTATCATTGACTCTATACATTGGGAAGAACTGAAATCTTGACAATATTGTGTATTCTTACTGATGAACAGAGACTATGTTATCTTTTAGGAGTTGTGTACTTTTCCATTTTCCATTGAGATCTTGATTCATCTTTAGTTAATTTTTGTGAAGTTCTTTTATTAGTTCTTCTTTGATTTATTTTTATCAAGAGTTTCATATTTTTCCTCAAATGGATCTTGTACTTATTTCATCAGATTAATACCTAAACATTTTATTTAGGAGATTGCTAATATAAATGCTATTTTGTTTTTGGCCTCATTGCTTGGATAAAGGAAAGTGATGGACTTTTGTATATCGTCCTTGTATCCTGTAACCTTGCTATAATTACTTAGTAGTTCCAGGAATTTTTTTGTTAATCATTTTGAATTATATACACAGATAATCATGTTATTTGAAAACAAAGACAGTTTTATTCTTCCTTCTCTGTGCCTGTTCCTTGCGTTATTTATCAAGTTGAGGAAATTCTCATCTATTTCTAGGTTAATGAAAGAGTTTTTGTCATAAATGGGTGTTGGGTTTTTTTCAAATGCTTTTTCTGCATCTTGGATAAGATTATGTGATTTATTTCTTTTTAGCTTGGTGATGTGAGAGATTATATTAATTGATTTTCAAATGATAAAGTAGCCTTGAAATCCTGAGATAAATTCTACTTGGTCATTATATATACTTATTTTTATACATTTTTTAGATTCAATTTGTTATTATTTTGTTGAGGATGTCAGCATCAATGTTTGTGAGATGTTGGACATAGTTTCCTTCTCTTGCAATTCCCTTTATCTGTTTTTTAGTAGAATAATCCTGGCCTAACAGAATGTTAGTAAATTAGTCCCTGTGCTTAAAGCTTCTGGAAAAAAAAATGTAGAAAATTGGTAAAAATTCTTTCTTAAATGTTTAATAGAATTCACTGATGAAACCATGTAGGCTGGTGCTTCTGACTTGGAAGGTTATTAACTATTGATTCAAGTTCCTCAATAGATAGAAACTTATTTTGCTTTACTTTCTTCTTGTGTACATTCATCAGACTGTTTTCAATTGGTCTATTTCATCTAGTTTATCAAATTTCTGGGCATAGAGTATTTCATAGTATTTCTTTATTATATTTTAGTGTCCATGGAGTCTGTGATTGTGCGCCCTTTCATTTCTATGTTATCAATTTTTATCTTCTCTTTTTTTAATTAGCTTAACCAGTGGCTCGTTGGTTTTTATTTATCTTTTCAAAGAACCAGCTTTTTGATTTATTTGTTTCTCTACTGATTTTCAATTTTTACTTTAATTTATTCTCTAATCTTTATTATTCCTGGGTTTTGGCTTACTTAGAATATCATTTGCTTTTCTCTTTCTGGTTTATTAAAGTGGAAACAGAATATTAATTTAAAATCTTTCTT